TGTGTGTGTGTGTGTACGGGTGGGTGGGTGGGTGGTGAGAGGGTGTGTGTGTGGGGAATGGGTATGCATGTGCACATGGGAGATGGGTATGTGTGTGTATGAGTGGGAGGCTGTGTGTGTATTTGTGTGAGATGGTGTGGCAAGCAGGAGGGTGTGTGTGTGTTTGTGTGGATATGTGGGTGAGAGGCTGTCTGTGTGTTTGTGTATGTGTGGATGGGAGGTTGTGTGAGGGGGTGTGTATGTGTGTAGGTGGAAGGGTGTGTGTGAGGTTGTGTGTGTTGGAGTGTGTGTATATATGTGGGTGAAGAGATTGCGTGTGTGAGGTTGTGTGGGTGGGGGGGAGGGTATGCGTATGTGGGGGCGACTGGAGGGTGTGTGTGTATACATGTGTGTGAGTAGGAGGGAGGGTGTGTGTGTGTGTGTGTGTGTGTGTGTGTGTGTGTGACGGTGTGGGGAGCAGGAGGGTGTGGGTGCGTTTGTGTGTATAGGTGGTGAAAGGTTGTCTGTGTGTGTACGTGTGGATGGGAGGTTGTGGGGGGATGGGTGTGGGAGGGTGTGTACGTGTGTGTATGTAGGGGGATGGGAGGGTGTGCATATATATTTGGGAGTGAGAGAGAGTGTGTGTGTGTGATGGTGTGAGAAGTGGGAGGGTGTGTGTGCATCTGTGTGTATATGTGGGTGAGAGGTTGTCTGTGTGTTTGTGTAGCGTGGATGGGAAGCTCTGTGGAGGGGGAGGGCGTGTAAGGTCATATGCGTGGGAGAGTGTGTGTATATATATGTGTGGGTGGGAGACTGCGTGTGTATCTGTGTATGTGTGGGTGGGAGGTGTGTGCATGTGGAGGGATGGGAGGGTGTGTATGTGGCGGGGGGATGGGAGGATGTGTGTGTGCCCGGATTTCCCCAGGACTCCTCTCTGCACTGAGGGACAGGCCCCGTTGCATTTCAGGGCAGGATTCCAGAGCCCCACGTGGCCCGAGGTTAAATCCGGCCTCCAGCACGCCCCTCAGTGACACCTGCTGTCCAGGCACCCCCCCATGAAATGGGGACAATAAAGGTCGCTCCGTGGGGGCTTGAAGGCCGAACCCGTGATCACACGCCAAGGACGTCAGCTGCCCCACACCTGCCGGTGGCCTGAAGCCCTGCTCACACACCTCCAGCCCTGGCTCTCGAGTCACCTGAGAAGCAGCGGAGGCACACAGAACCGGCCCCCCACCCCACCCTCACCGGCGGGTGTGCAAACCTCACCTGAACACACCTCCAGGGGAAGCCCGTCGGCACTAAGCCTCGCGGCGTGAGCACATCCTCGTGGGTCCCAGAACCAAACATCCCCCAGACTGATTCCAGAACCGGCACAACGTTGATAACAGGTGAGAAAAAATGAATGATCAGTCAACCACTCGAAGAATCAGACGTGAATAGTTTAAAGGCGCTAGCGGGATTTGAGTTTCTAGAACACAGTCAGCCTCTGCACTCTACAAGTCATTTCCTCTTGTAAGGAGTCTGTCTTGGTGGCATCATTCGAACTCTCCCCACTACAAGGATACACAGAAATCCCAGGAAGTAAGGAGAGGTTAGCTGTGTGGGTGGGAGGTATCTGGGCCAATATCTAAGAAATGCTAAGATAACTTTGAGCTATTTAGAAACACTATTTCCATTAGAGATCTGAACACCCTGTAAGATTCAGGCGGTTCCCCACACAAGAACAAGGAGTGACCAAGAAGTGAGTACACTGGGATCCCAGCATGGATGCCCCACACAAGGATACACGGATTCTCTCTCAGACTCCCATCCATGGAACCACCCTCAAGGCAGCATCAGAAAAAAACATTTCCCTGACACCGGATGACCACTGATGAGTTTCAGTATCTACTTAAGCTAGAGAGATAGACTGCAGCCGCAGGAAGGTGAAAACCAATACACAGCTGGCATTTAAACAGCTTTGAAAATACACCAAGAAAATAATGCAGGCACAGACATCGGCTGGGTGGGGATGATATCCCACAAAAAGCACGATGACAGCTCAGAAACTCTAGAAGTAGAAAAATAACCTCACACTCAGCAAACTTAAGGAAGGCTTTTTTAAGAGGCAAACCTCGGCTAAAATAAAAGTAGAATAATTAGGATGGAATGTTCAGCCTATGAGATTGCTCCATCTCAGAAAAGACTGTCCCCATTTCCAGTGGGGAGCAATGATTCATCTCCATTCGTAGACGTGTTTTCACTCTGACTTTGACGTGCACAAAAACTGAAAAGGAACAACTGAGCTGATTTTGAAACACACACTAGCATCTTTCAACCTATTTTGGCATTTATATTTGAGGGTTTTCCAGAATTTTTCCAATAAACACTTAACTTGATAAATGTAATCTGGCCGGGCTCGGTGGCTCAGCCTGCAATCCCAGCGCTTTGGGAGGCCAAGGTGAGTAGATTGCCTGAGCCTGCAAGTTTGAGACCTGCCTGGGTAACTTGGCAAGACCTCATCTCTACAATAAATTAAAAAAAAAAAATTAGCCAGGCGTGGTAGCGCGTGCCTGTAGTTCCAGCTACTTGGAAGGCTGAGGCGGAAGGATCACCGAGTCTAGCAGGTTGAGGCTGTGGTGGCTGGAAGCAGTCACTGCACTCCAGTCTGGGTGACAGAGTGAGACTCCAACTCAAAAAATAAATAAATAAATAAATGTAATCTAATAATTTCAGCGACATCAAGCAATCTGTAGTTCTGCCACTGAGTGCTACCATCAAAATGGGAAGGCAAGTTTTGTAACTTCTTCAGAAAATGGTCAAGTGTCCCACAGAGTCGCTAAGTCATGGTTTTCACAGGAATTTACCATAGCAAATGTTTATGATTCAGAGAACGAAATTCTTCTTATTTAATTTGCCGTTATGTATAAACAGTACAATCCTTAAAAAAAAAAAAATGGAATCCTTTAAAAACAAATGATTGTGTAAATATTTAGAAAATAATGAATTTACAAATACATTAATTAAATATTAAAACTCAATCAAAGGCTGTGTTTGGTTTGCCTTGTTTTGTTTTTTTCAGATTTCTTTTTTTTTTTTTTTTTTTTGAGGTGGAGTCTCACTCTGTCGCCCGGGCTGGAGTGCAGTGGCACACTCACAATCACCCCAGCATTGACCTGCTGGGCTCCAGCGATCCTTCCACCTCAGCCTTCCAAGTAGCTGGAACTATAGGCGTGCACTATTATGCCCAGCTAATTATTTTGATTTATTGTAGAGACGCAGTCTCGCCAAGTTGTCCGAGCTGGTCTCGAACCTGTAGGCTCAGGTAATCCACTTGCCTTGGCCTCCCAAAGTGCTGGGATGACAGGCTGAGCCACCAAGCCCAGCCATTTGTTTCAGATTTCTTAAAAGGAGAAATACTGTACCACAAATCCGCATGACCTAACTTGTCTCTCACGTCCTGTTTTTTCCTGCAAGATGCGCTCAGCATTTTGGGGAACGGCTCGTGCCTACAGCATCTAATGTTCAGGTAGATCTGTGTCTCCTGCCTCTCAGCACAGGGGAGGGAATTTTATTTTCCCACCTCCTTGGTCATGGCAGAAACACGGGACTGACTTCTGATCAAGGGGTTCTGAGCAAAAACGGTGCCTGTCTCTTCTGAGTTAGAGCTTGTGACTGCTGGCACACGACGCCAGTTCTGTTTTTCCCAGTCACGACAAACCCTGAAGGAGGGGCACACTGACTCTGAGAGCAATGCAGATCGAACCACAATGAGACACTACCTCATGCCCGTCAGAGTGGCTAGAATTAAAAAGTCAAAAGACAGCGGACGTCAGCGAGGATGCAGAGACAAGCCAGCACTCACACAGTGTTGGTGGGAATGTAAGTGAGCACGGCCCCTGGGGAAAGCAGTTTGGAGAATCCCCAAAGCACTAAAAATGGAGCTTCCATTCAACCCAGCAACTCCACTACTGGGTATCTACCCAATGGAATAGATCTCACTCTGACAAAAAAGCGCATTCACTCATATGTTTATCACAGAACTATCCACAATAGCAAAAACATGGAACCAACCCAGGTGCCCATCAACAGAGGACCGGGTGAATAAAATGTGGCAGCTACACATCACGGAATACTATGCAGCCAGATAAAGGGATGAAAGCATGGGCTTTGCAGCAACATGAATGGGGTTGGAGCCCATTATTCTAAGCACATTATCACAAAGACAGAAAACTGAATACCATATGTTCTCACTTATCAGTAGGAGCTAAACACTGAGTACACACCAGCATAAAGGTGGGAAAAACAGACACTGGGGACCCTTGGGAAGGGGGAGGAGTGGGGGTAAGGACTGAAAAGACACCCATGGGGTGCCACACCCACCACCTGGACAACGAACCCAACAGAAGCCCACGTCTCACCATCATGCAATGTACCCATGTAACAAATCTGCATGTGTACTCCCCAAATCTAAAATAAAGTAATTTTTAAAAGCTCTGTGGAAGAGAGTACCACTGTTGCCTGTCAAAGATAGTACTATGATTTATAAAGCAGCAGCCTTCAGCCACTGAGATGTTGAAGTGATGCGTCATTGACCTATAACCTAGCCTGCTCTCTCTAGGACGATCCTATTAGTTTTGACCCAAGCTTTGCTCAACTTTAAAGCTGCTAGATCCTTATAAACAGGATGACAAATCTCAGGAACAGACAGTATGTGAGATCTGGAAATGCTGCCCCATGGTTTCCTAAACATTTTGGGGAAGGCACTGGTCAATAAAACAAGATGCCAGATGGACCTAGAAAACCAAATCCCACCTGAATCGAGATCTCCATTGCCATTGGCTGAGCCGGGATGCCTTTCTGAGGGGGAGGATGAAGGGTCCTGCATGCTGGAAACTGACAAACCGCTCTCCATCCCTGCTGAGTAAGTGTCCTCTTCTCTTAATGCATCCTGTAGGAAGAATTACCTAAGAGCAACCAAAAAAAAAAAAACATCAGAGCACTATAATTATATGCATTGTATAGCATAACCCTATCCGAGTTGCTACCATTTCATTATAACATGTAAGGATGTAATGTTGATCATATAAAATACAAGGAATAAAGATTAAGGAAGACGTCTCTCCTCAAGGGACATGAAGGCCACCCATCAGTTTTCTAGAGGTGACTATCACCACCAGGAGAGACGTATTTTTTGCCAACCAAGAGAGCCTGCCACTTCAGTCCCCAACCCACCACGACATCCCTCTTATGTGAAGCAGCCAGTTCACCACAGCCTCAGCATCCCACAGGCAGGTACCACACCATGTGATCAATGTGCCCCTTTTTTTTTTTTTTGAGTTGGAGTCTCACTCTGTTGCCCAGACTGGAGTGCAGTGGTACACTCCCGGCCACCGCAGCCTCGACCTGTTGGGCTCCGGCGATCCTTCCGCCTCGGCCTTCCAAGAAGCTGGAACTGCGTGCGCTCCCGTGCCCAGTTAATTTTTTTTTTTTTTTCTTGTAGAGACGAGGTCTCACCAAGTTGCCCAGGCGGGTCTCGATCCCGCAGTCTCAGGCAATCCACTCACCTCAGCCTCCCAAAGTGCTGGGATGACAGGCTGAGCCACCGAGCACGGCCCATTCAATGTGCTCTTTCACAAATCAGAAATGGGGACAAGACGTTCCCCCCACAAAAGCGTGGCTATTTCTCACCTGCCTTCTGACATGACCAGGGGAAAAAGAGGGAAAATGATCGCCACTTCTCAACAACTCCCATGACCTCGTTTGTTTATACCAGAGCCCACGAGATAGCAGGAGAGTCCTAACTAACAAGCAGCCATGCCCGGCTCTGGTGGTGAGACGCAGCCACATGGCGTTCTTAAATCTTCCATTCGTCCAGCTTTCTCTTTTATTTCACATATAGACAGAACTTTAAATCAGCAAAAGGGCAAGGAGAGATGAAGAAAAGAATACAGCGCCTTTGAACCTAACAATGGAATATTCTGTGACTTAATTCACCAGTAAAATGTTTTCAGAATATCAGACCTAGCCAGACTCAGTGGCTCAGCCTGTAATCCCACGCTTTGGGAGGCTGAGGTGAGTGGATTGCCTGAGCCCACAGGTTCGAGACCCACCTGGGCAACTTGGCGAGACCGCATCTCTACAATAAATCAAAAAATCAGCCGGGCATGGTAGCGCGTGCCTGTAATTCCGGCTACTCGGAATGCTGACGCGGAATGATCGCCGGAGCCCAGCGGGTCGAGGTTGCGGTGGCTGGGAGCAGCCACTACACTCTAGTCTGGGCGACAGAGTGAGACTCCAACTCAGGAAAAAAAAAAAAAAATCAGACCTGACCAGACACTCACATCTGTTATCCCAGCACTTCAGGAGGCCAAGGTGGGAGGATCAGCCCAGGAGTTCAAGATCAGCCTGGGCAGCATAGCAAGGCCTTGTTTCTACAAATATCAAAAACTAGCTGGGCATGGTGGTATGCACCTGTTGGTCTAGCTACATGGGAGGCTAAGGAGGAAGGATTGCTGGAGCCCAGGAGGTGGAGACTGCAGACTGCAGCAAACTGTGATCACACCACTCCAGCCTGGGGGACAGAGTGAGAGCCTGACTCAAAAAAAAAAAAAAAATCCACACACACACGTGCACACACATGCGCACACACACACACCCCACACACACACATTTTTAGAATTGTCCAGTTTACTTTCCTGAAAACCTTTAGGAGATTCTGTCAAAATGGAAGGGTCATAAGAGAGAATGTCACTTATCTGTGCAATGGCAGGAAAAGACTGAAAAAATGCTGCCAAGAACAGACAGGAAGGAAACACACCAGGTCCACAGTGCTAGACTTGAACTCTACGTGTATTTAATTATCGACCTGCTGTATACAAAGTACTACACCCGACACTCTGGACAGGATATGAAGCTATGTCTCAAACACAATACAAAGAAAGAAAATATCTATTTTAGAACAGGAACTATAAAGTTATCCAGACTGGTTCATTAAACAGCAATCTAGGCGCCTTGCGCTACAAAGACAAGTTCATGGCTAAGCAAACGGAACGACAAGCCAATAAAGAAGGCACCTGCCGGTGACTAGATTACCGTTCGCTCATTCAACACGTTGAGCACAGGGCTTGTATTTTCTAAAGCAAAAATAAGGGCGCATGATCTGAGGCATAGAGGTCACCATCAATGATTCAAGTAACTTAAGTTAAGACTGTGCAAAAAACATGACAGCTGTGAGCAAAAGAGAGCACCAGGTACTAAACATCATTTTGCTGATGTTAAAACAACACAAAGGACGGGCAGATACCAAGCCTGAAGACTCATTTACACGCGCTCACGAGAACACTGTGTTGGGACAACAGAGAAAGTACGTTTGAACAGTCTCAGTCTGGGCAACATAGCAAGACACTTGTCTCTACAAAAAAAAACTGAAGGCTGTACACGGTGGCTCAAGCCTGCAATCCCAGCACTTTGGGCCTCTAAGGCGAGAGGACTGCCTGAGCCCATGGGTTCGAGACCAGCCTGGGCAACATGGTGAGATCTCGTCTCTACAACAAATCAAAAAATTAGCCAGGTGTGGTAGCACGTGTCTATAGGTCCAGCTCCTTTGAAGGCTGAGGCAGAAGGATCGCTGGAGCCCAGCAGGTCAACGCTGAGGTGGCCATGAGCGTGCCACTGCACTCCAGCCTGGGCGACAGAGTGAGATTCTGACTCACAAAAAAAAAAAAAAAAAATGCTGATGAGGTCTGGCATGGTGGCATTTGTCTGTAGTTCCAGCTTCTTGTGGAGGCAGAGGTAGGAGGATCACCTGAGCCCAGGAGTCTGAAGCTTCAGTGAGTTGTGATTGTACCACTGCACTCCAGCCTGGGTGACAGAGCAAGACTCCCCATCTCTTTAAAAAAAAAAAAAAAAACACCTCTTAATCCTAGCTTTCTAGAAGCTTAAATCTAAGACAAACATCATAAGAAAATATGGTATATAATGGGAATGGCCTGAACCTTAATACAAACGGGGTTTGTTGTTTGAATCTTTCAAAAAGACAAAACTGTCTCACAGCCAGTGAATCATTTGATGAGCTTAGTTTCTGAAAGCTCATCCAGAGACAACCCTCAATAAAGGAGACTGCTTAACAGCCAGAGACGGGTTCTAAGATTTGTTTTTAATGGAGAACACTGCAAACCTAGCCATTTACTATCAAGGGTGGCCGGTTTTACCCGTGAACATCAGTCTGCTAAAATAACCCACCCCATGATGGACAGAAACATGTTCTCCTAAAAGCATCCCTTCCAGACTCCCATTGACAACAGGCACCCATGAAATCCTGTACAGTGTCCACATCTTTCACAAAAACAAGCCTGTTCAAGAAGCAGGCAGAGTTGAACATGACCTAACACCAAACCCATGTGTCTCGTCTCAGAAGCTTCCAGAGGCTTCCTCCCATGGGCTGCCCACAGCAGACGGAGCACAGGAGGAAAGGTTGACAGGGAACCGATGTTTGTTTGTTTGTTTGTTCGTTTTGAATTGGAGTCACATTCTGTCACCCAGGCTGGAGTGCAGCAGCACGCTCCCGGCCACCGCAGCCTCAACCTGCTGGGCTCAGGCGATCCTTCTACTTCCGCCTTCCAAGTAGCTGGGAACTATAGGCGTGCACCACCATGCTCAGCTAATTTTTTGATTTACTGTAGAGATGAGGTCTCACCAAGATGCCCGGGCTAGTTGCCAACCCATGGTTCAGGCAGTCCTCTCACCTCGGCCTCCCAAAGTGCTGGGATTATAGGCGAGAGCCACCATGCCCACCCTGACTCATGGTCTTGCGTGCTAAGGCTAGATTGCATAGGGGGCAGTGGCACCCATCAGTTCATCTCTCTCGCCACTGGTATTCCTGGAGTGCTCGCTGACACAATCTGCAGGCAAACCACTTGTTGATGAGCAAGTGTGTCCATCCAACCAAACACCCAACCGCCAGCAGGTGTCCACCGAGAACATTCACGGGAGCACCAGGAACAAATCAGGATGAGTGAGATACACAGTTGCTTCCCTCCCACCCCTCTCTGCGAAAGGAAGCCCGGGTGCCTATTTACTGGGCTACTCAATCACTGAGTCAGGCACACGACACCCACCAGCACCAGGAACCACAAGGCAGCATGGGCTTGGAGAGAGGATAGTGGCCCATTCTGGAAAGTTGTGCCACTTCCCGGGTCTCCCCTGGGTGATTTTGCAGAGAAACTACCAGGAACTGGGAGGGGAGATGGACATGCAACGAAAGGAAAAGGGCAGGTGGTAGAACACTTGGAGCCAGGAAAGAAAAAAGGAGAAAATGCCAGAATATGTCCAAGGGAGGGAGGTCTGAAGACATATTACGGAGTCCCCAAAAATGATGGTCATAAAAAACATATCACTCTGTGAAAAGAAACTGAGGAGCTGAGGCCAGACATGGTGGCTCACGCCTGTCATCCCAGCACTTTGGAAGGCGGAGGCAAGAGGACTGCCTTGAGCCCAGGGGTTCGAGACCGGCTTGAGACAACATGGGAAGGCCTCGTCTCTACAATAAACCAAAAAAAGTAGCCAGGCATGGTGGCACATGCCTATGGTTCCAGCTACCTGGAAGACTGAGGTGGAAAGATCCCTTGAGCCCAGCAGGTCGAGGCTGGGGTGGCCGTGAGCACGCCTCTGCACTCCAGCCTGGACAAGAGAGTGAGACCTTGACTCAATAATTAAATTAATAAATAAATAAAAAGAAAAAACTCAGGGTACCTGTATAATGAACATTTGTATACCTAACCCTGAAATGTACCCCATCTTTAAAATTAAAAAATTAAAGAAAAGAAAAAGAAAAAATCTTGTCCTGGTTACACACTAATTGGGGGAAAAAGCCAATCGATTATTTTTTCAATTAGCAAACAAGAGAGTCCGTTAGGTGACAAGTACTACAGAAAAAACAGACACTTCACAAAAGAAGACATT